AAACATTTAAAAAATTTGAATTCACCTGTACCTCAATAATAAATGAATGAATGGGACTTCCCTGGTGGCACAGTGGTTAAGAATCTGCCTGCCAATGCAGGGGACACGGGTTCAAGCCCTGGTCCGGGAAGATCCCACATGCTGCGGAGCAACTAAGCCCATGCACCACAACTACTGAGCCTGCGCTCTAGAGCCTGCAAGCCACAACTACTGAATCCCACACGCCACAACTACTGAAGCCTGCATGCTCAGAGCCCATGCTCCACAACAAGAGAAGACACTGCAATGAGAAGCCCACGCATCGCAACAAAGAAGAGTCCCCATTTGCCGCAACTAGAGAAAGCCCATGCATGGCAACAAAGACCCAACACAGCCAAAAATAAATAAATAAATAAATGAAATAAATTTATTAAAAAAATAAATGAATGAATGAATGAATTTTAACACCAAACCTTCTCAAACTCTTCCAAAAATTGAAGAGGAGGGAACACTTCCAAACTCATGAGGTCAGCATTACCTGATACCAAAACCAGACAAAGATACTACAAGAAAAGAAGACTGCAGACCAATATTCCTGATGAATGTTGATATAAAAATGCTCAACAAAATACTAGCAAATTGAATTCAACAGCATATTAAAAGGATTATATACTATGACCAAGTGGGAGGATTTGTGAAAATCAATCAATGTAATATACAACATTAACAGAACTAAGAACCATGTGATCATCTCAACTGATGAAGAAAAAGCACTTCATAAAATTTAACATCCTTTATGATAAAAACCTTCAACAAACTAGGAATAGAAGGTAATTACCTCAGCATAATAAAGGCCATATATGAAAAGCCCACAGCTAACATTATTCTTAATGGTGAAGAACTGAAAGCTTTTCATCTAGGATTAGGAACAAGGCAAGGATGCCCACTCTTACCACCTCTTTTAAACTACTGGAAGTCTTAGCAGAGGCATCTGACTTGGAAAGGAAAAAGTAAAATTGTCTCTGTACACAGGTGACATGATCATATAGATAGGAAACCCTAAAGATTCCACCAAAATAACTGTTAGAACAAAGGAATTCAACAAAGTTACAGGACACAAAATCAACACACAACAAAATCAGCTTCTATATACTAACAGGGAAAAATCCAAAAAGGAAATTAGGAAAATAATCTCATTTACAATAGTGTCAGAAAGAATAAAATACCTAAGCTTAATCAAGGAGTCAAAAGACTTGTACATTAAAAACTACAGAACAATTCCAAAAGAAATTAAAGAGGATGCAAGTAAATAGACATCTCATGTTCATGGATTGAAAAACTTAATATTGTTAAAATGTCCATACTACCCAAAGTAATCTACAGGTTCAGTGCTATCCCTATCGGTATCCCATTGACATTTGCTTGCAGAAATGGAAAAAAAATTCTAAAATTCATATGGAATCTCAAAGGACCCTGAATAGCCAAAACAATCTTGTGAAAGAAAAACAAAGCTAGAGGCCTCACACATCCTGATTTCAAAATATATTACAAAGCTACAGTGATAGAAACAGTATGGTACTGGCATAAAGACAGGCACAGACCAATGGAACAGAATACAGAGCCCAGAAGTAAAACTCTCTCACATATGACCAAATGATCTTCAGCAAGGATGCCAAGGCTACACAGTGGAGAAAGGATAGTCTCTTCAACAAATGTTCAACAAATGGTGATGTGGGAAAACTGGACATCCACATGAAAAAGAATAAAGTTGGACCGTTACTTTACATCATATATAAAAATTAAGTCAAAAATAAAGACCTGAAACTGTAAAACTCCTGGAAGGAAACATAGGGGAAAAGCTTCATGATATTGGTTTGGCAGTGATTTCTTGGCTATGACACAAAAAGCACATGCAACAAAAGCAAAAATAGACAAATGGGACTATATTAACCTTAAAAGCTTCTGTGCATCAAAGGAAACAGTGAACAGAAAGAAAAGGCAACCTATAGAATGGGAGAAAATATTTGCAAACCATATACCTGATAATGGGTTAATATCTGGAATACATAAAGAACTCTTACAACACAAAAACAGAAAACAACCTGATTAAAAATGGGCAAAGGACTTGGATAGACATTTCTCCAAAGAAGCTATACAAAAGGCCAACAAGCATATGAAGAGATGCTCAACATCACTAATCATTAGCGAAATGCAGATCAAACCAAATCGGATATCACCTCATGCCTGTTAGGATGGCCACTATCTACCCCACGCCCCCCCCCAAAAAAAACTCACACACAAAAATAATAAGTGTTGGTGAGGGTGTGGAAAAGTTGGAACCCTTGTCACTGTTGGGAATGTAAAATGGTGTAGATGCTATGGAAAACATTATGAAGGTTCCTTAGTAAATCCATGTGTCCAGCAAACCTACTTCAGGGTTTATATCCAGAAGAATTGAAAGCAGGATATTTGTATTTGATATTTGTACACCCATGTTCATAGCATTGTTTACAATAGCCAAGATATGGAAGCAACTTAAATGTCCGTCACCAGATGAATGGATAAAGGAAATGTGGAGAATACACACACACATAAATGTATACACACACACACATATATATGTATATATACACATGCACAATGTATATATATGTATGTATATGTATACACACACTATGGAATATTATTCAACCCTTCAAAGGAAGGGAATCCTGTCACATGATACCACATGGGTGAACCTTGAGGACATAGTGAAATAAGCCAGTCACAGAAACACAAGTTCTGCATGGATCCACTTACACGAGGCGTCTAAAGTTGTCAAACTTGTAGAGGCAGAAAGTAGGATGGTGGTTCTCAGGGGCTGGGGAAGGGGAAAGGGGACCCATTTTTGTTCAGTGAGTATAGTGTTGCAGTTCTGCAAGATAAAAAGAGGTCTGGAAATCCGACATACAACAGTGTGGGTGTAGTTAACACTACTGTACACTTAAAAGTAGTTAAGATGGTAAATTTTAAGCTACGTGTTTTTTACCACAAGAAAAAACGTGAGTGTAATCCTATTACGTGCTGTTTTGGTTTCTCTCCTTTAATTTATTGATGATGTTAATGATTTTTAGAGATTTCCTAGTTTTAAAACATCCTTGCAATGTTGGTATAAACCACAGCTTCCTCTGATAGATGATGAAGAGCCAATTTCCTTAATATATAGAGAACTCTTAAAATCCATAGAAAAATGGACAAAAAATAATTTATCACAAAATGTCAGTAACACATGAAAAGCTTCTCAGCCATTGCCTGTAAAGAAATGCAAGTTAAAACAGTAGTGACCAGTTTTTCATGTATGTATTAGCAAAGACTAGAAGTAGTGATGACATGCAGTGACACTTAGATCACTTCATTCTCTGGTGATGGGGGTGAAAATCAGTACCACCTATTTAGAGGGCAGTTTTGTAGTTTACTGACAGTATTTTAAATGCCACAGCAGTTGTACTTATAAGAAATTCAGAATTTCAGATATTTTCAAATGCGCAAAAGTATTCGCAGGGATAACCATTGAAACATTTTTGTAAGAGTTTCAAAAATTGGCGAAATGCAAATGTCTGTTAAGAGCTAGGTTGGTTAAGTAAATTATGATACACGCATAAATTGGAACAGTGTTTAAAAGAGTGAGATAAACTGTAGGTTCTGACATGGAGAGATGTTGGAACTACATTGTTGTGGGAAGAAAAGAAGAGGATCAGAACAGATTGTAAAAATACAACTCCTTTTTTGGTTTTTTAAAAAATTGGTTGTAGTAACTTATGTCTAGAAAACATATCTGAAATAATGGGCCCTAGATTGTTAACAGTGGCTATCTCTGGGGAGAATAGGAAGGATTTTCACTTTTCTTCATTATTTCTGAGAGAAACTCTACATAGAGCATCATTTGAAATAGAAAGGAAAAAAGATACATTTCAATGTAAATCTGTATTGCTAACAATTACAAAGAAAAGGGAATGCTACCTGCAAATTTTTATTTTGGAATGAGTTGAGGTTTCCTTGTGATCTGTTATACCACATGACCCACTTTTTTTTTTCTTTCTGTGGTACGCGGGCCTCTCACCACTGCAGCCTCTCCCGTCGCGGAGCACAGGCTCCGGACGCGCAGACCCAGCGGCCACAGCCCACGGGCCCAGCCGCTCCGCGGCATGCGGGATCCTCCCGGACCGGGGCACGAACCCGCGTCCCCCGCATCGGCAGGCGGACCCCCAACCACTGCACCACCAGGGAAGCCCCACACATGACCCACTTTTAAATATGTCTCATGAATGTTCTTAAAAGAATATGAAGTTGATTACTGTGGAATATTCAGGACTACCCAAATCTGTCAAATCATCCTCGTTACAGAAGTCTCATTCTTTACATCCTTTCTTGTTGTCTACTTGAGCTTTCAAAACCACGAGTAGTGTATTGAAATCTCTGATTATGTTTCTATAACTCTGTCAGCTTCTCCCATTATTCCTGTTTCTATCAATAAATTGTGGGTTGCATGTCCAGGAGGGCCGAGGCCCGGCCACCATAACATTTGGAAAGCGTCTACTGACAGCCGCCTTCTAAACATTTGAAATCTTTTGTTGAACTCTTACTGTCCTTTCAGTTCCTTCCTGAGAATTAAAACAACAACAGAAAGTTTCAGACTTATCTATAATTTAAAGCTAAACACTTTAATAAGAGTTTGATCTACAAACTCATTTCCAGCCCCCATATGTGTGATATTTTGCAGTGTTGAAGTACAGTGACAATTAGCTGCAGCTTTGTTAATTTAGGGAATTGAACAATCCCCAGGTTCCAAAGACAGATTCTGGGGGGAAAGCTATGTACTTTCAGTCTTATTTCCTCATTAAAAAAGCAATCCATTTATAAGACAGAAGCTTTCGAGAAAGGGTGTAGAAAGGATTGTACAAAGAATGAAGAACCTGCAGTTGTTGTCTGGTCCTTTGCTGCGAGTCTCTGGCAGCACAGAACCTCACATTTATACAGCTCACCTCACTCGGGGCTCGACTCGGCAAACTGTGTCTCCTCACCGTAATTGCTGCCTTGCTTGTCAGGCGTGGTCCATGAGTGCCTGCTGGAGGAGTGGTTTCTAGATAATTAGAGCTTTCCCCTTTAAGCACCGCTTTTATTGGATACCCTTTAAAAAATGTATGACAAATAGACCAACCCCAGCTTACCTATATGGGTCACGTTGCTGGAAGTAGCCCCGTGGCAGTAGCCAGGTGGTGAGTACGTGGGTATTCACTGAACAATTCTTTGAACTTTGCTGAATGTTTGAAATCTTTCCTAATAAACACCGGGGGTAAATACAGCTCAGGAAAGTCATGCAGGCCTTCTTCCAGCAGTGTTGTGGTTGCTCGGAGAGCTCAGTGCGTGGAGCCGTTGAGGGCAGGCTCCATAACCAGCTTACCAGCCTCTGCTGCCTCCTAGCTATGCGCCCTTCAGGTGGTTACTGCACTTCTCTGAGCCTTGTTTTTCTTGTCTGTACAACAGGAGTGACAGTAGTTCCTTCTCTGGGGTTTGCTGTGAGAGTAAAATGAGAGGGTGTGGCTAAAAGCACTCCCTACGGTATTGGTATTAAACACTCAGTGACCTTTGGCAATGGCTGCTCCTCCTCCCCCCTCCCCCACTGCTGTTATTCAATCATCTTCATCATGGATGACTGACTCCCCCAGAGAGTGGTAGGCAGTGGTGCTCCCCTCCATCATTGATTTGAAAGACAAGTTGGGGCTACCCTGAGACTCAGTTGTGAATGAAATTGGGACCATTTCCCCAAATCAAATGCATCTTCATGTTGTTCCCCTCTCAGCCTTAGTAAATGAAATACGAGGGACATAATGTAACTCTTCCTCGGTGGAGAACAGTCCCCATAGCAAATGTCAGTTAGGCCTGAGTGTCAGGTGCTGTGTACCTTGGGCCTGCACTTCCCTGCCCCTCAGCTCCGCTGCTCCCTGGCCTCCTGGTGAGCACGCTTGCTTCCTTAGCTGCCAGGTCTGCGGTTCTCTTCCCTCTCTCGCCTCAAACCTGGCGTTCACAGCCACTGCCTTTCACCTTTCCCCAGGGCAGAAGTCAGGAAGAGGAAGGCAAATCAGGAAGTCATAAATCAATGGCATCACCTGTAACCTTAGAAGTGAGAATGATGACCCTCTTCTACAGAACTGAGTGCTGTAACTTTCTGTCCTCCACCTTTCTTGGGTTTTTGAAGTCCTTTCAGTGGTTTTTAGTATATTCACAGTTTTATGCAACCATCACCACTACCTAATTTTAGAACATTTGCATCACCCCCAAAAGAAACCTCATCGTCATTAGTGGTCAGTCCCCATTCTCCCCTCCCCTCAGCCCTTGGCAAACCCTAATCTGTTTCCTGTCGCTATGGATGTACCTATTCTGGGTGTTTCATACAACTGCAGTCACATGATATGTGGCATTTTGTGTCTGTCTTCATGATGTTTCTGTCCATGCTGTAGCATGTGTCAGTACTTCATGCCTTTCTATGGCTGAACAGTAGTCCGTCATAGGGACATGCCGTATTGTGTTTATTCATTCACCCATTGATGGCCGTTGAGGTTGCTTCTACTATTTGGCTATTATTATGAGGATGCTCTGAATATTTGTGTGGACATATTTTCATTTCTATTTGATATATACCTAGGAGTGGAATTACTGGGTCTTATGGTAACTGTATATATAACTTTCTGAGGAACTGCCAAACTGGTTTCTGAAGTGCAGCAGTGGCTGCACCGTTTCACCTTCCCACCAGCAACGTAGGAGGGCTCTAGATTCCCCCACTTCCTCACCTGTATTATCTGTCACTGTGATTATAGCCATCCTGGTGGGTGTGAATTGGTATCTCATTGTGGTTTTAATTTGTATTTCCCTAATGACTAATGATGTTGAGCACTGATTTTAATATGCTTATTGGTCATTTGTATGTCTTCTTTGGAGAAATGTCTATTCAAGTCCTTTACCTATTTTTAAATTGGGTTTTTGTCTTTTTATTATTCAGTTATGAGCGCCTTACCAGATAATGTGATTTTCAAATATTGTCTCCTGTGGCTTGTCTTTTTCACTTTCTTGATGATGACCTTTAAAGCACAAAAGTTTTTAAATTTTGATGAAGTCTGATTTATCTGTTTTTTCTCATGTCACTTGCACATTCAGATATTCTATTTGATGTCTTCAGTGTCTTATCGGAAAATCTGATTGGCTTACTGGAAACGAAACTGTATTATTCTTAGTTTTCCTGATTTGGAATCCATTCAGGTGGTAAAGCACCTGATTTAAAATGTTTGCCGGTAATATATAGATAGAAGAGCTTAGAAATGTTGATACTTGTTGAGCTGGTAAATTACCCGTTTCTGTGCGCTCAGCCTCAGGAAATAATATGATAGAAGAAATACCATCCTACATGCCCAGAGGTCATTTCACTGTCGCCTATGAGAGTGGCGCGCGGAAAGCCAGTTCATAGCAGAGGAGGTGAAGTCCATCGTGGTACATTGTTAGGCAGCTGTTGCATATTGTAACTACGAAGCTGATTGAATGACTGTTGATGATGAAATGTTGAGTGGAAAAAACCAAAACACAAGTGTGTGCCCATTAATGATTAAAAATGTGTATAAAATATCTGGACTAGATGGAAGATTATAGGTGGCTTTCTTAAATTTCATTTTCTATTGATATATATTTTTTTACTATTAAAAATTAAGTTAAAAAAACATGCCTGACATTTCACATCAGTGGGGGAAATGGTGACAGGTGGGTACACTGGGTATCTGTTTATCCTTGTCTCACACCAACTATTTTTTTAAGAGTAAGTATTTTTTATCATCATGATCACCAGGACTAGTCTTAAAATCAGAAAAGACAGTTTGCTGTGTTTATTTACTAAGAATTTGAATAGAGGTATTTAATTTTCTTACATTTTTATATCAAATCCAAACACTGATGATAACATGATTCTGGTATTAGAATTACTATTATTTTAGTCATTATCAGCATTGCAATTTGCTAAAAAAAAGGTAATGATGATTGTGGTGGTATGTTAATAGTAGAGATCACAGAAATACTTTTCTCCTGGCATCTCATGAAAGAATTAGTAGTAGTAGTATTTAACATGTAAATAAATCAAATCATCCCAGCTTTTGAAATAAATTTGAAATGGAACAAAGATTTAAGGGTTTTTGTTTGTTTGTTTGTTTTTTTTAAGGACTAATAAAGGCACTGAAAAAAATAAAAAGTAAGCCCACTACAAGGTCACGGGTAGCGTGCACACCCAAGGTGAGGCTTCTTGTGGGGTTGCTGCCCCAGAGGGAGATGTACAGTTCATGGGCCACAAACCCCGTCTGCGGATCCCCTGACCTTCTGACCTCGGGCTTCACCTGAGCAACAGGGGGCTGGGGTGACAGGGTAGCAGGTAGGGACAGCCCGCAGAGCCCCGCTCCTGTGGCATCAGTGCCCCTCCCTGGTGCACGCACTGCAGTGGGCTTGGCCTCTGGGCCTGGAGCGGGCGGGCATCCTGCTCTCACACGTGGGAAGGCTATGAAAAGAAAACCCTTGTGGGCCCAAACATTTAAACAAGAATTACACTAGGATCTTTTGTTCTCTCTATGACACGGTCAGAATTCATTTGGAGGTCCAGAAGAGGGTTTTTTTTTGTTGTTGTCATTTTTGAATGAGTTATTTTATGCGAGGAAACAGAGGGAAACACAACACAGAAACACATGGCTGAAGTCTGTCCAGTGGTGTTGGGACGTCCCCGCGTCATTCCTCAGGGCACTATTTTTGTGAGCGTTTGTGGGGCTTCTGACTCAAAAGTCACATCCGAGGTTGGATGTTGGTTCCTTGGGAAAAGGCCCGGGTGATCGAAGGCAAGCAGTGGAGTGTGCCTGGGAATCTGGGAAATACACACGCAGCCCGAGAGAGGGATGCTCACCGTTTCTCTTTTCCTCCTCAGGTTTAATAGGGAAAACTTGCTTTCTGCAAACAACTGAAAAAGCCGCCCTCGGAAGCTGTTCCTTTGGGCCTCATGGAGCAGCTGGAACCTGTGCTGTGAGGCCCCCGACAGGACGAACTGTCGCCCACTGATCCCCCAGCGCGGCTGTCGCCATGGCCAGCAAGAGGAAGTCCACCACCCCATGCATGATCCCCGTGAAGACCGTGGTGCTGCAGGACACCAGCGCCGAGGCCCTGCCCGAGGAGCCCCCGGTGCCCGAGGGGCCCCCGCAGGAGCCGCCCCCAGAAGCTCCCACCGCCAGCGGCGAGGCCACCCAGGGCACCAGCGGTCCAGACAGTGCCGCACTGGCCAACGGGCACCGGAGCACCTTGGACGGCTACACATATGCCTGTAAATGCTGTGACTTCAGATCCCAGGACATAACCCGGTTTGTGGGACACCTGAGCTCAGAGCACACAGACTTTAGCAAAGACCCAAACTTTGTATGCACTGAATGCAGTTTTCTGGCAAAAACTCCCGAGGGGCTTTCTCTGCACAATGCCAAGTGTCACTCGGGGGAAGCCAGCTTTGTGTGGAATGTGGCCAAGCCAGACAATCATGTCGTCGTGGAGCAGAGTGTCCCCGAGAGCACCAGCCCTCCCGACCCATTGGGGGAGCCACACATGGAAGGGACAGATGGACAGGCGGAAATCATCATCACCAAAACTCCAATCATGAAGATAATGAAAGGCAAAGCCGAAGCCAAAAAAATTCACACGCTCAAGGAGAACGTCCCCAGTCAGCCTGCTGGGGAGGCCTTACCGAACCCTTCAGCTGGGGACACGGAGGTGAAAGAGGGGGACCACGCCTTTGTCAACGGGGCAGCCCCGGTCAGCCAGGCCTCTACCAGCTCCGCAAAACCCCCTCACTCGGCCAACGGGCCCCTGCTGGGGACGGTGCCGGTGCTGCCCGCGGGCATCGCCCAGTTCCTCTCCCTCCAGCAGCCGCCCCCGCACGCCCAGCACCACGCCCACCAGCCCCTGCCCACGGCCAAGTCCCTCCCCAAAGTGATGATCCCCCTGAGCAGCATTCCCACGTACAACGCGGCCATGGACTCCAACAGCTTTCTGAAGAACTCCTTCCACAAGTTCCCCTACCCAACCAAAGCCGAGCTCTGCTATTTGACTGTGGTCACCAAGTACCCGGAAGAACAGCTCAAGATCTGGTTCACCGCCCAGAGGCTGAAGCAAGGTATCAGCTGGTCCCCGGAGGAGATTGAGGACGCCCGGAAGAAGATGTTCAACACGGTCATCCAGTCCGTCCCCCAGCCCACAATCACTGTCCTCAACACCCCGCTGGTTGCCAGTGGCGGCAACGTCCAACATCTCATCCAGCCCACTCTGCCTGGCCACGTGGTGGGCCAGCCAGAGGGCACAGCCGGGGGACTTCTGGTCACTCAGCCACTGATGGCCAATGGGTTGCAGGCACCCAGCTCATCTCTCCCCCTGGCAGTCACATCTGTCCCCAAGCTGCCCGCCGTCGCGCCCATTAACACCGTGTGTTCCAGTACAACGTCCGCCGTGAGGGTGGTGAATGCCACCCAGTCCCTCCTCACGGCCTGTCCTAGCATCACCTCCCAAGCCTTCCTGGATGCCAGCATCTACAAAAACAAGAAATCTCATGAACAGCTGTCAGCTCTGAAAGGGAGCTTCTGTCGGAACCAGTTCCCAGGACAGAGCGAAGTTGAGCATCTGACCAAAGTGACCGGCCTCAGCACCCGTGAGGTGCGTAAGTGGTTCAGTGACCGCAGGTACCACTGCCGGAACCTGAAGGGCTCCAGGGCCGGGCTGGCCGGGGAGCACGGCGCCCTCCTCGTCGACTCTGTGCCCGAGGTGCCCTTCTCCCTGGCGTCCAAGGCCCCGGAGGTGACCTGCCTCCTGACAGCGGCCACCCCAGCTACGCCCCCTTCTGCCAAGCGACAGTCCTGGCACCAGACCCCCGACTTCACACCAACCAAATACAAGGAGCGGGCCCCCGAGCAGCTCAGAGCCCTGGAGAACAGTTTTGCACAAAACCCCCTTCCTCTCGACGAGGAACTGGACCGCCTGAGGACCGAGACCAAAATGACCCGCAGGGAGATTGATGGCTGGTTTTCAGAGAGACGGAAAAAAGTGAGTGCCGAGGAGGCCAAGAAGGCTGAGGAGGGCGCCTCTCAGGGGGAGGAGGAGGCCGCCGAGGACGAGGGGGAGGAGGGCTGTGCCAGGGACCCGAGGGTCCCAGGGGAAGATGGCTCCCCAGAAACGCCCGGCAGCCACGTGCTGGCAGAACGCAAAGTCAGCCCCATCAAAATCAACCTCAAGAACCTGCGAGTCACGGAGGCCAACGGCAAGGGCGAGCTCCCGGGGCTGGGCGCCTGTGAGCCCGAGGACGACGTGCCCCGCAGGCCAGCGGAGCAGCTGCCGGGCAAGCTGAGCTGCAGGAAGACGGCCCAGCAGCGGCACCTGCTGCGGCAGCTCTTCCTGCAGACGCAGTGGCCCAGCAACCAGGACTACGACTCCATCATGGCCCAGACGGGCCTGCCGCGGCCCGAGGTGGTGCGCTGGTTTGGGGACAGCAGGTACGCCCTGAAGAACGGCCAGCTCAAGTGGTACGAAGACTACAGACGGGGCAACTTCCCCCCCGGGCTGCTGGTCATCAGCCCCGGCAACCGGGAGCTGCTGCAAGACTATTACGTGACCCACAAGATGCTGTACGAGCAGGACCTGCAGAGCCTCTGCGACAAAACCCAGATGAGCGCCCAGCAGGTCAAGCAGTGGTTTGCCGAGAGGATGGGCGAGGAGACCCGGGCCGTGGCCGACACGGGTGGTGAGGGCCAGGGCCCCAGCGACCCCGCAGCAGTTCACAAAGGGATGGGCGACACCTATTCAGAGGTGTCCGAAAACAGTGAGTCATGGGAACCTGGTGCCCCTGAGGCCAGCTCAGAGCCCGTTGACACGCCGAGTCCCCAGGCTGGACCTCAGCTGGGTAAGGAGCCTGTGGGGCTGTGCCGTCCTCTGTGGGTCTGGGGGGCACCTGTGGCAGGCACGGAATCCAGTGCCGGGGCATCTGCTGTTTCTAAGGCTGTCTGGCAGCAGGACCATGTTGTCTGGCTGCTTCAGGGGGCACCTGGCAGCAGGATCCGTTGGCGCATCATCATGGGATAAAGGCTTGACACTTGGCTTTTTGTTTCGTGTTTGTGAGACCGGCACAGGGGAAGGAGTGTAGTGAACCTCCAAGGGCCCACCCTTCTCTAGTCATTTCTTAGCCAAAGGAGAATAGGTCAGAATGTCACCTGAGCCAGATAGAACCACGAGCACTGGGTAAGAGAGAGAATAGGACTTACGAGGAAGTTCAACCCCAGCTGGTGAACAAAAGCAGAGGGAGCCTTTAATTGACCTTAGATACATGAAGTGCTTTTTTTTCTAAATGATGAAAAATCCTGTAATTTGCATTTCAATTATTCTTCCTGATGTAGAGGTAGTGGAGAATCTTTTTCCCATAACGTGGACATAGACATAGACATAACGTGGAATAGACATAACGTGGAATCGAAAGCTTAGACATAACGTGGAATCGAAAGCTTGAATTTTGTTCCTCATTTTCTCTGGATCAGGACAGTAGTACTTGAAAGAAAGCTTTAGAAGATTATTTTACTGAAGACAGTTTGAAGCCTCAGACAAATCACGTTATTGGGTGTTGATTTTCTCGGGTCTTGATCTCTGAGTTCCTGGCCTCTCCCTTCCCTCCCACCCTCCTCTTGGGTGGCCTTGTCACAGGTTGGCCAGGAGCGAGGTAGCTGAGCTCTTCACGGGAAGCTGTGGAAACCAAGGAAGTATCTGGATTCCCAGATTCCCTGATTTGGGACCTTTAGAAGGTGGTTCCAGGGCCGGCGTTTCTGGACTCGACCTTGTTTCTTCCAAGCCCCTGTGAGTCAGTGAGGTCCCCGCAGGGAGCATCACGGGCACCAGGGAACAGGTGTGGGCTCACAGGGCGGGTTGCCTCAGGCACCTTCTCCAGCACCGGGCCTGCCCACCCCTGGCTTTGGCTCTGCCAGCAACATGGCAGATTGCTGGGCACTAGGAAAACTAATTTCTTTAGGTATTTTGTTTTTTTTAATTGAAATTCTACTGAATTATATTCTTTTTTTTTTTTTTTTTGTGGTATGCAGGCCTCTCACTGTTGTGGCCTCTCCCGTTGCGGAGCACAGGCTCCGGACACGCAGGCTTAGCGGCCATGGCTCACGGGCCCAGCCGCTCCGTGGCATGTGGGATGTTCCCGGACCGGGGCACGAACCCGTGTCCCCTGCATCGGCAGGCGGACTCTCAACCACTGCGCCACCAGGGAAGCCCGCCCCTTTTTTTTTGAATTACGTTCTTGTAGCTGGAAATAGGGTGGTGGTTACACAGCATTGTGAATGTACTTAATGCCACGTAATTGTATACTTATTAAAAATGGTTAAAATGGTAGGTTTTATGTGACGTATATTTGACCACAATTAAAAATGCTAACGTGGAGTTGGGATGAATGGGTTTAAATCCACCGGCTCCCCTCAGCTGGTAGCTCCAACACTAAGCAAGGAGCTGGTGTCCTAGGTGGGGCAGAGCAGGAGTGGCCAGGGCGGCTGTGCCATTGTGGCGTCACCCTCTTTTGGCTGAGGGAGGTACCCGAGGGGACAGGGAGGGCCTGTCTGCCTGTCTGTCTGTAGCTGTTTTCTCGCGGCTTCCCGAGCCAGCCTCGATGCCGGGGCCCCACCTGTAAGCATCGATGGTGAGGGCCTCTCCGAACGACCCCCCGACAAATGAAGGGAGGGCATCGGTGGGACACATATGTGGAAGTAGACCAGCTGCTGCTGTGCGACAGCAGCGTTCCCTGGAGATCCGGGGATGGGGGGAGGGCGGCGCACAGCGAGGGTTCCCGGCCCAGAGAAGTCAGGCTCTCGCCCCGGGCTCCATGCCCCGGTTCGGGTGGCCCCTGGGTGGTCCCAGTGCTCCGCCGGGTTTAGCCAGCACCCTGTCCTCAGCCCAAATGCCCTTCCCCACCTTCCCTCGGGCTGGAAGGCAGGGAGGGGCTGGTAGGAAGGCCGGGCTGGTGGGATTAAGTCCCCAGACGTGGGAGGATGGGCCATCCTGGCGATGCACATAGAGGTGACGGGCCTGTGTTTTCTCCTCAGAAACTGACTGAACCGGAACCGACGGCTGTGAAGGCCTGGCCGGGGCGGCCGCCCTCCACATGGAAGGGCCTGACCCCTCTCTGCTGCCCCGGCCCGCCATGCTCACACAGGTCTCCACGCGGCCAAGCCCGCCGCCGTCTGCACCCGGCCCGCCACCCCAGCGAGCAGGGAGGAGCGTCTGGCAGTTCTTCCGCCCACAATGTAGGACCTTTCTTTTGCCTTCCAGTGGATAAATAGTTCAGATTTTATATTCATAGACACAGAATCAAGTTTTTAACATATAAATCTGCCTATACACATTTAATAAAACATCAGATTATAAACACTTTCATTACATAGAAACTTTGGTTAGCAAAGCAGTACATGGTCTTTTATATCATCTCTGGAAATGCCCTGTGTCTGTTCTCTGGAGATCGCTGGGCTGCGTGTTCCCGCACCTTCCACGGTCAGGCCGGGGTTATCACACGCTCAGAACCACACCTGCAACCGCTGGGGCCCCCTTTGCGCTCCTTCGGGAAGGTGGCACCTTTGAAGAGACCTCTGCTCCTTAAGCGGTGACCAGCAACATTGCATAGCAGGTTTGCCTTGCCTTACGGGATGATCAGTGCAGAACATGCTGTTACCCGCAGTTCAGAAAACTGACCGGTTATGTGATTAGTGTTTGATGCCTACCACTCTCGTAAGTTGTTACAGTAATTCTGCTTTTTCATGGGAGTTTGAATCATGGACCATAACTCTTCAGTGATCAGATCAACTAAAGAAACATTTGTTATTAAGCCTAATGTACTGACCTATGTGCCGCCTTTTTTTTTTTTCAGTCTAGACACGTTTAGAGGAAAATTGACAAGCGAAACAGGGATGGGGGATGGGAGTGAAGGCGCACAGCCGCTGGGGCTCTCTCTGCCCTCTATCGACCCTCACCCCGGAGCCGCCTCTGGTTTGGGAAGGCAGGCCCACGCTCACCTGGTTAGACTGAGAGCTGGCGGGATTCGGGGACTTCTCGGAATTATCGGAGCCGGGGTGGCCCTCAGCACAAAGACCTGCATGTGGGGTTCCCAGCAGAAGACCCAGAGTCCTCCTGGCCCCCGTGCCTGGGGCCTGGTTGGCGTGCTGGACATCGCTGGACAGGTCCTTGTGAGGATGTTTTTAAAGTTCTATATTTATATCCCCAGACTTGGAAACAAGATCTCTGTCTACTTAAGCCTAATCCTCATATCCATTTTTTTAATTGAGAAAAGTCACAGGAAAAGGTGCCTTTGAAACATTGAGAAAGTTGCCTACAAAGCTGTGCTGAACGGTAAATCCCGATCTCCCCGAGACTGGCTGCCCCAAGAGCAGCAGGTGAAGAGGGGCCTGGCAAAGGTGCATCACCTCCCAGAAACCACCCGCTTCCCAGAGCACCAAGGCCTCGGAGACCCCAGAGACAGGGCAGGGGCTTTGGGCAAGAAATACTGGGGGGGGGGGCGGTGTTCGGCACAGTCCTTCTCCCCCGTCCCCCCGGAAACTGGGCCGGGCAGGGCACCTCCCAGGTTTGGCTCCGAGCACAGAGATGGGGGTCGCACCTCCTGCCTCCAGGAGAGGCTTTTCTTCGGAAACCAAAAGCCCTTGAACCATTGTTCTTCTAAAGAGTCTCCTCTTGCTTGCCCTGTCCCGTTAGGGACCACCTCTTCTTGGTTTCAAACAGGTGACTTGTGAGGACTTGGGAAGTTTGGCAGCCTGTTTTTGTATCCTTTCCATATTTAGCCCCAAGGCCTCTTTGCGGAATTGCCCAGAATGGCGAGTGATTGCCTTCCTTCAGAGAACAGACACCTAGAACTTTTCCTGTAGTGGTTATGTACATGCAGATTAATTTATATGTATCCATATACAGCACAGATACTCGTTTGATGCTTTACTCGTGACGCGTCTGCCTGACGCGGCACGTGGGTGTTGGGGAGAGCAGCCCGTGTCGGGGAGTTGCGGGGGAGGCCGGGGCGGCCCCGCGCGAAGCCACATCCGAGTGTCTGCGACGCCACCCTGCCGGCGTCACTCCCAAGAGCCCTGCGTGCCCCAGCCGAGGGCCGTGTCTTTACAGCGGAGTTTCTTGGTTATTTTGTTTGTATTCATGTCATTTACAACCCAAACAGCGAAACAGAAAACATAAATTACATGGTGGACAAGTTCACGCAGGACGTAGGGCCCGAGCTCAGCACCAGCTTGTCCTTAAAAAGTGGAAGCGTCACGGTGCTGCCTGCGGGCAGGTTTTGCTCACAGGAGTCAGCCTGCCCGCTAGCCAGGGCGACCCCCCAAACGGCGAGACTGCCCAGGCTGGACAGACCCTCCTCCTTCCTTTACTCTGGGACCCGAGTGACTAAGGAATGAGGAGATGGAGACAGAAATGGTTGGTTCATCGAGCAGGTGCCTAAAGGGACGTCGCGGCAGGTACCCGGGGCCCTGGGGGCAAAACCAGGAACACAGCCAACCGGCTGCAGAGACGCAGCCGCAGCAGCCCGGAGCCGGCGGCGCGCGCCAGAGTGCGGTGGGGATGCAGGACGGCCGCAGCCGGCCCCGTGGCCAGGGAGGCCACCACGGTTTGCGCCCCACCCAGGGTTAGACTGCGCTGCTGCCTTCAGGAAGTCTGTGGGCTCTAGAGTTGAGGGAAGTAGGGTGGGGTTAGCCTCTCCCAAAGAAAAAGCTCGTTTCGTAAGGTGACTAATCTTTCCCCTCTTCTCTGTATGCACTTGGACTCATCAGAGATGGTGAAATATGTCAGTGTTTCTTGTTGCCTGTGTCTTGTACATGTTTGGTTTATTATATTTTTTACATGGGGTTGTCGATCCAGTTTTAATAGGTGAGCCCAGATCACCATTCTGACAAAGGAAACCTGGATTTATGATACAGATACTCTGCATACTTTGATTACGTACATTAATTCTTGACTGTTGAGGAGCTTTGTGATTTGGAAGGCGGGCTCTCATTTTCCTGAGTCGTGGGCTCCTGAAGTGGAAAGCCTGGCTGGAGGACTCGTGGCACCTGGGGTGGGTGGCCCTGTATGACTTGGAGCTCCTTTCGCAGCCAAGTGCCCATCCTGCTGTCGGGAAGCAAAGGTGGGAGGTGGGCGAGGGTCGGTGGTACCTGCAGGCTCCCGAGTGCGCTCACGGCCCTGGGAGGCCGTTCCACCGGGAAGTCTCAGCATGTTCTCCAGGCCGAGATGTGGGTGCCATGGGTTTTGTCCTGCTCAGTCCGTGGTCCCATGGCAGGTCCTGTGACACCCCCTCTTCCCCCATGTGCCAGGCTGCCTTCCACAGAGGCTCAGCGTTGCCCTTTTGGGGCACCTCCTCACCCACAGCTTCCTGCTTGTGCCGCCCTGCCTTGGGCCCGGTTGCCTCTTGTCTTCCTGTCCTCTTCTCGGACCAGAATCCTCGGGTTGGAGCGGCTTTGTCTATACAAACATCGCAGCCCAAGCGGATAAAGGCACTTTGCAGGAGAGGAGAACCAGCCAAGAAGAAAATCTTAAACAAACCAAACCTGGAGTTTGGGCTTTTCCTAAAGTTTCTTCCCCCTTTTTCCTTGCTCAGACTTTACCTGGGGCAGGTTATTGGTTT